TTGTAGTTAAAATGTGGGAATTTAATCAAAATACCCTATTGTGTCTCTGCCAGCTCTTTGAAAAGAGCTACCAAATCAATCCCATTGCCCCGCTCTCTCCCCATAGCCCTGCAAACTTGTCCTCACCAAATAATTATCTACTTCTCTCTTAAAAGGTGTTATATCGAATCAGCTTCCGCCACCCTTTCAGGCAATGCATTCCAGATCCGAACAACTCGCTGTGTGAAAAAATGTCTCCTCACCTCCCCTCTGTTTCTTTTAACAACTATATTAAATCGGTGCCCTCGGGTTACTGACCCACCCGCCAGAGGAAATAGTTTCTCCTTGTTCACCCTATCAAATCCCCTCATCATTTTGAAAACAACTATTAAGTCTCCTCTTAACCTTCTCCGCTCCAAAGAGAATAACCCTAGTTTCTCTCGCCTCTCCTGATAACTGAAGTCCCTCATTCCTGGTACCATCCTGGTAAATCTCTTTTGCACCCTCTCCAATGCCTTGACATCCTTCCTAAAGTGTGGTGCCCAGAACTGAACACAGTATTCTTGCTGAGGTCTAACCAGTGTTTTATAAAGATTCATCATAACTTCCTGACTTTTGTATTCTATGCCAGTGATATATTCTGTCACTGAGCAGCCTGAAACAGTTGATGTAGAATAAGCCTGGTACACTCCATTGGACTTGGACCTCGAGAACACCAAGAAAACTGGTACATCACAAGATGTCCCATAAATCTCAGATATCCACCTGACAAAAAGATAGACTGACTTCTTATCTTCTGATTGTCATGCAATGTTTATAACAAATGCAAAGCAGAAGGAAGTATAATCACAAAAACCCAGTGAGGCTAATCAGATTCCAGCCTTAACTCAAAATGTAACTCTTTGTTTTATGAAGGTCAGAAGAAATGCTATCTGCTTATTGATGATGCCACTGATGATTTATGTGATTAAACAAATTATGATAATTATAAATGGCTTCACTTATACTGGCTCCACTACACTAAATGCTGGTTTGCTGGCAAAGTACCATCTTATTGCTATGTCATTAAAGTAGCCAGTGACTGAGCATGTTGACTGGGATAATTGTACTTATATGCTGAGTTTCCGTGATGTGGAATTATTCTATGGATCACACACCTATCAATTTGAAGCTTAGGAAAAGCTATTTCTGAAAATATGAATTACTTATTGCAAAATTAGCTATGACATAGATATATCCTTAAAGGAGAATTGATTTCAGTTTTGAAAATAAAAACAAATTAAATATGTTCCAGCACATTGTTTGTGGAAAACTAATCCAACATCTGTTCCCTCATACACATGGCCTTTCCATTCTATTGCTCTTCAATAGTTGCCATTGACCTGACAACCTGCTGCACAAAAACGGCAAAGTCTTTACTTGCTTCTTAGATCTTATACAGAAGTGGTACTATATCATCAACCAGAGAACTCACCTGGGCATCTTGAATGCTGGCCCTTCAATACCTTTGACAAGATGGAAGCCATCCTCCTTGGTTCCCATCAATGTCTTCTCTCCTGCGGCTCTGTCTTCATTCACTGAACCTGTGGGCAATCTGTGCATCAGGTTTGATCCTTACCTCACATCTGCTCCCTGACCACTTTCCTCCACCTTCACCATATTGCCCGCCTCCACCATACCTCACTCTTGACTTAGCTGAAACCTTCATTCACGCATTGGTCACTTCACGCCTCAAATTTTCCAATGTCCTCCTCAATGGTCTCCCCAGCTTTACTATCCACAAAACCCAACTGATCCAAAATTCTGCTGCCTGTATTCTCACCCAAATTACATCTAAAGACCTTGCGCTTTAACAGTGCCTATGGTCACTTCCTCTTTCTCCCCAGTTCAGTGTTAAGCGCTTGTAGTAGTGGAGCTTGACAATGAGCTAGGGAGAGAATGCAAGCTGCAGAGTTTGGGATCAGTTGAATTTTGTGGGTACTCGAACTGGGGAGACTAGTGAGGAAGACATTGAAAAGTTTAACAGGGAAGGTTACGAATACTTGAATGAAGGTTTCAGCTATGTTGAGGGTTAGGTATGATTGCAGGTGGGCATGTGGTAAAGGATGCTATAGAAATGCAATTTGTTGTTGCTGTTGGCCCACTTAGTGATGGGGACAACAAAAGCAGTATTATGTCTTTACATGGCTTAAGAGGGGATTGTAAATGTTCCGATTGGAAGATACAAGGTCCACATCCCAATTATTGATTGTTTAACTGTTTAACAATTTTTGACTGTCCAGCACCTTGGGACGTCCTCCCAATGTGAAAGTCGCTCTATAAATGTAATTTTGTTGTTGTTGTTGTTGTTGTTGTTTATTGGTATGTGGGGATTGTGGTGGACACGAATCCTTGCTTGGAAACTCGCCTTCAAAATCCTCCACGGCCTAGCCCCTTCCAACCTCAGTGACTTGTTAACCCCTTCAACCTGTCCGCTCCCTCCGCTTAGCAGGTTCCAGTGCTCCCATCCCATGCCCGGACCACCCCACCATTGGCAGTCGGGCCTTCAGCCTCTCACCCCATCCTTTGGAACTCCATTGCACATTCCCTTCACCTCACTCCTTCCCTTGCCTTCTTCAAGGCACCACTCAAGACCCTCCTCTTTGATCGTGCCTTCGACCACTCCCCTACCCTCCATGCCTTCCACCCTCCCTCGCCCCAACCCATCCCCCCCCAATTCCATTTGGGTCCAAATACCTGACTGCCCTCCTGACATGAAAAGCACTATACAAATGTAATTTTGTGTGTGTGGCCTGCGGGACCCCATGGAGAAGGAGCAAAGAGCACTCTATGGTAAACAAGAGGCTGCAGGGTGGGAGGGCTGTTGCTGAGTACCTGGAGGTGGTGGTGCTTGAAAGAGTCAGCTTCATGGAGTTAGCTTCAAAGTTCTTCACATGAGGACCTGGATTTAGCATCTAGTGCTGAGTAAACATTGGCCTTTGGCTTCTAAAATATCAAGGTGGCTGGCACATCACAAGCTGTCCTGTAAAGGTCATCCCACTAAGCTGAAGGCAGATGTCTATTGAATAGCTGAGGAGGAAACTGTGAGGTTTGGGTTGACAGCTCTGGAAGGTGATACCTGGAGTGTGGCTTCATTGACTCATACTCATATATCCAGGGTTTGGAATCCACCATGATTGGTTGGTAGAGAGGTAAGCAGCTGTTGCTCAAGCTCAGCATCTTCAATTGGTGGAACCATTGCTCAGTGGGAAGGGATGTGGGCAGGAGGTTGGTGGCAATGTTCTCTCACAAATTATACTGAGCTGTACTGTCCAGCATGAAATGTGTGAGAGTATTGGCACCATCACAGGAGATCCTGGCAGTTGCCATCCCCCAAGAGAGGGCTCGAACCTGCTTGTGCGATGTCAAATGATCGACTATTGACTATCCTCCTTTGGGGGAGGATTCAGTGGGCAGACCAACTTGGTTCATTAATAACAATTGAAGGGGCCTCCTACTATAAGAACACCAGAGCATAAGAATTGCTAAACAAAAGACCGAGGTTCATCCAGTTCACCTTCCTCCATCTTGGCAGTCATATGAATGTGTCATGTCCCAAACTATAAACTGCTTTCCGAGATATTATTTCCTAATAGAAATCCATCTAATTTGTTCTTGAAAGAATCAAAACTTTCTGCTTCCACCGTTTCCCTACTGAACCTGTTCCATACATTTACTACTCACTCACTGAAGTAGTTTTTCTGCAGATTTATTTTAATTGAACCCCCTTGAGTCACAGGCCGTGTCCTCTGATTCTACTGTTCAGTGCAAGATAAAACAGCTTATCATGGTCTACATTATCTAGTCCCTTTAGAATCTTAAAGACCGCAATCATATAGCCCCTCAACCTTCTCTTCTCCGGTGTGAACATGCCCCGTATACCTAATCGCTCCTCATAGTCCAGTCCCTCCATCCCCTCAATCATTCTGGTTACCCTCTTCTGTATCCTCTCAATTGCTACAGTATCCTTTTTGTATTTCGGTGACAAGAACTGCAAACAGCAGTGATTTGTAATGTGTCAGGATTACCCCACTCTTTTGGCTCAATGTTGCCTTTTTTATACAACCTAGCATCTGGTTTGCTTTACTCACTGCTACCGAGCACTGTTGCGATAGCTTCAATTTATTGTCAATCAGGATCCCCAGGTCCTTTTTCTTTCAGATTATTTTCTTGCCATTTAAATAATAGTCCCTTCTTGGATTGTTTGTCCCCATATGAAGCACTTTGCATTTCTCTGCATTAAATTTCATCTGCCATCAATCTGCCATATTCCCAAGTATGTTCAAGTCCTCCTGTAACCTGTTCTGTTCAGCTTTGCAGTCTACCACCTTCAGCTCCTGTTAAACCTGCAAGCCAAAGGCCTGACATGTATGGTGGTCCTAGCTGACCAAGAATGGAGAAAATGGGGCATAGAAAGATTGTGTAAATTTGTATAGAGCCTGGGCATCCTTCAATGCAACTGTAGATAGAAATAATAATAATAATCATCCTTGCATTTGACATAGCGCCTTATAACATCTTTGGGACATCTCAAAGCCTTCGCAGAATATACTGTAAAGTGAATTGACTGTATATTTTGTGGGCAAAATGTAAACATATATAATGAAGATCCCACAATACAAACATATATATAATGAAAATGTACATCTTCAAAGTGTAAATTCCCTGTACCACAGTATAAATTACTATATAGCGTAAGAACAATGGCACAATGTAAATGCTAGGGCAGCATGTTTTCTATTAAAAAGCCAAATGAAAACTGATGTACAGAGAGAATAATGATGTGTTTATCACTGGAAGTCATGAAATCTTGGCTTTTGGAAGAAAGTACAGATCTCTAGGCTAAATTGCAACGTCTGTGATTGTGTGATTGGTACCTTATGCACACTAATTATTGGTTTAAGGTTATGAGGGAGTGTAATGTATGTCATGTACCTCTATATAACACCAGCTGAGCTCTTCACTGGGATTACATTTCAGCCATGGACCCTACAGCCACTGTGCTCACGCTCTTTGTTCTCATCAGCTTACAAATTATGACCCTGTCTTCAGGTAAGGATCTACTGTGCTCTCAGTTAACCCTTGCTAGGTTCACTAGCAATTTGTACACTCAAATTGAAATTTCAAAGTTGCTTTTAGGAATTGCATATTTTTTTTGATGTGCATGGTTGTAAATGGGAATATTAGAAAGTCTCACTTAAGACCTCAATAGCTAATTTGTTCAGCATTATATTCCACAAATGTACCTATTTGTTTTGAAATAGGCCTCAGAAAGATTATGCAGCTTTGTTGAACTAATCATTTCCAGTAAATAAGTAAATTTTTCCGAATGTTACGGGAAAAATCCATTGTATTTTACCAGACAGTCCCTGACTATCCAACGCCTTGGGATGTCCTATCGACGTGAATGGCGCAATGCAAATGTAATTTGTTGTTGTTATAAATCTTACTGTGAGACACTTTCCTTTGAAATAACATTCTCTTCAAAGAAAACTTTGTTTTGGGGTAGAGGTTGAAATGTTGGTGTACATAATTAGTATGAATATCCAGAAAGTTCTTCAGTGTATTCATAAAACAGTGACATTATTTTTCATACCAATGGTCTAATTGGTTTGTATTACTTACAATACAATATTCAAAATTATATTTGTATAGCACCGTTCACACAGGAGCACATCCCAAGGCGCTGGACAGTCCAGGATTTGAACGCAAGTAGGGGGTGGGGTTTGGTATCGGGGTGGGGGGGGGTGTGGAGGGCAGGGAGGGCAGGAGGGTGACCGAAGGTGCGGTCGAAGAGGAGGGTCTTGATAGGTGCCTTGAAGGAGGCAAGGGAGGGAGCGAGGCAAAGGGAATATGGGATAGAGTTCCAAAGTGTGGGGGCAGAGAGGCTGATGGTGGGCCGGGCCGGGCAGGGTCATGGAGCTGGCTGAAGCATTCTGAGCGGAGGGAACAGACAGGTTGATATGGGGCTAGCAGGTCACAGAGGTAAGGAGGAATAAGGCCGTGGAGGGCTTTGAAAGCGAGGACAAGGATTTTGAACTCTATCCCCTGGGGGTTGGGGAGCCAGTGGAGTTGGTCAACGGTGGGGGTGATAGGGTACCAAGCAACTTATAATAATAATCCTTGCATTTGATATAGCACTTTTCACATCTTCTACATGTCTCAAAGCGCTTTACAGAATATACTGCAAAGTGACTGTATAATTGTGGGCGAAACGCGGCAGCCAATTGCACACAGCAATGTCCCACAAACAGTCATGGATTGAAAATAGCCAATTTTTTTGTTTGTTTTTTTGGAGGGATTATTATTAGGCGTGTGGAGTAAGGAAACTTGCCCAAGGTTTCGCCCTGCCTGGAATTGAACCCAGGTGTCTCACTTGCAAGGCGAGTGCTCTAATCACTGAGCTACAGGACTCCACAAAATGCTTAAAATGCTTTGATATTTGAGAACTATTACTTGTCGGTAGCTTTGTACTCCTGTGCTGTGGGTGCAAATGCCAAAGAGCAAAATATTGCTTTGTGTGACAACATTTTCATTGCAATAAAATATCAAAGTAGATAGAAAACAGCTAAACATTGTTATATTTGTATGTAATATAAAGGATGCAGATCAGTAACGCATTCTGGTTGGGTTGAAATGAAAATAAATGCTTTGATATTTGAGAACTGTCTCAACCCTGGGGTGGGTTATTGCTTTGTAATTCACTCCACTGTCTTTTAAGTTTAATTTCTGTAAGGCATTCATTGACTCTCTGCAGCAATTTTGTTTTGTTTAGAAATATTTAACGTTTTATAAAAGAAGGTTAAACCAACATACAATAAAATACAAAATTACAGTTGCCTTTCATGTCAGGAGGACGTCCCAAGGTGCTGAGACAACATTAAAATGGGCAACATGAACTCAAAGTCGATACTGATACTTCAATACAGTACTGAGAAGCATTGGCTTTTTTTGGAAGTCAATGTCCTTTTAATGAGATCTAAGGCCAAATAAAACAAAACTATATGGATTGATTTAATTACTGTTTTGAGCCACTAGTGGAAAAACATTTATTTGGGGTTTCATAGAATCATAGAATCGTACAGCACAAAAGAGGCCATTCGGCCCATCGAGTTTGTGCCGGCTCTTTGAATAGAGCAATGTAATGTCAATCCCACTCCCCAGCCCCTTCCCCGTAACCCTGCAAACCATCCTCCTCAAGTACCCGTCCACCGAGTTTTTAAAAGTAGTTATCGAATCGGCCTCCACCACCCTTTCAAGCAGTGCTTGAACAACTCGCTGCGTGAAAACATTTCTTCTCACCTCCTCTCTGCTTCTTTTAGAGACTATTTTGAATCTGTGACCTCGAGTCACCGACACCCAACAGTGGAAACAGTTTTTCCCTTTCTAACCTATCAAATCCCCTCATGATTTTGAAGACTTCTACTGGGTCTCCTCGTAACCTTCTCTGCTCCAATGAGAATAATCCCAGCCTCTTTAGCCTTTCCTCATAATCAAGGTCCCTCATTCCTGGTACCATTCTTGTAAATCTCCCCTGCACCCTGTCCAATGCTTTAACATCCTTCCTATAGTGTGGTGCCCAGAACTGGGCGCTGTATTCTAACTGAGGCCTAAACCTAGGCCTAAACCTATGCAAAAAATAAGAATCAGTCAACACTAAATGAACGAGAGTTAATGCCTAGAATTTCACTGTATGCGCATTAAGGAGGCATTATTAGAAAGAAAGCTATCACTGGTTTCTTTCCTTTTTCAGCAGAGTTAATTGAACAAAATCAGGAGGTGAAACACTACACAACTGAATCGGAATTGTTCCCACAAAATAATAGTAACATTTTGAAAGATTTATGCAGAATGTACAGCATAACCAGTCCATGCCAGTGTTTATACTCCACAGGAGTCACCAACCAATCCTTACTTCATCCCTTACACTTCTCTTCCCCTTTCCCTCCTCTGAAGTCTAGCTTCCTCTTGAATGCATCTATACTAACTGATTCAACCACTGCTTCAGGCAGCAAGTTCCACATTCTCACTACTCTCTGCATGAGGTAGTTCCTCCTAAATTCTCTTTTTGATCCCCTAGTCACTATCTTTTACTCGTTTCCTCTGGTTATAGATTCCGCAACCAGTGGAAACAGCCTATTTATGTCACCCTTATCAAACCCTTTTATGATTTTCAGTACTTCTATTACATGCCCCCTTAAAGGTTTTTTCTCCAGTGAAAAAGGACTAACCTATCCTCGTTTCTAAGTCTGCTGTATTCACTTCTGTTTTCCTCTCTATTATAATTCTGTAATTTTCAAATGCTTTTTTACTTTGTTGCAGTTTTGTCTTCACCTCCTTATTCATCCATGGCATCTCATTATTTATTAATTTCCCCTTATTTCTTAATGGAATATATTTCTCCTGCATCTCTTCTATCCTCCTAGTTCTTAATCATGAAACTACAATCAAAACCCGTGATAAAAACTGTACAGCCTATCCAGAGCTTCCAGAATGTCAGCAAGCAAAGATGAAAGGATCAAAACACCAAAGTAAGTAAATCATCCTGAAAGTCTTCCTTACATCTCTCCTGATCATGGCTGTCGGAACCAGAATTCTCAAAAGAACATTCATTCATTTTCTCTTCATCTCAGACTAATGGTTTCAATCTTTGACTTTGAGCTCCTCGACCAGGGCTGACACTTGAGGGAGGTGCTGGAGGAATGCTGCAATGTTAGAGGTACCAGGCTTTACATGAGACGTATACCCACCAAGCTGTTTGTGGGACAATGCTAAGGACAAATTGGCCACTGGTCTGGCTTACAAATATAGGTCACTCACTTTATAGCAATTAACCCTGAAACGCTTTGTGATCTTTCAATGTTATAGGCGTTATATCAAATGCAAGTATTATTTGTTTATTTAATCTTAAATCTAGTTCACAGAACCATAGAAATTGTTAAAGTCTTAACCAAGCGCTAGACTTCTTTCAGCCAACCTGACTCATCAGTAATACCTGAAATGACAGACTCCACCAGTCAGCTCTTGTTCATGCTGCAAACAAAGCTCTAAATAAGTACGTTGGTGCAAGCTGGAAAGTTTTCCAGACGGTGCTCCCTATTGGAACATCATTAATAGGGTGACTCAGTAGAAAGATTTAGCTTTTAGAAATCCTTCTAAGTGGGTGGTGATTACCAGAGGACATGGCCTGCAATTGAAGGGGGTAAATTCAGAACAAATCTACGCAAACACTATTTTAGTGAGCGAATAGCGAACCTGTGGAACAGGATCCCTCGGGAGATGGTTGAAGCAGGAAGTGTTGATTCTTTCAAACACAGATTAGATAGTTTTCTTTTAGGAAATAACATTATAGGATACAGACATAGGTAAATCGGGACATATATGCATGTGACCGCCAGGAAGGTGGAAGGCGAACTAGATGGGGATGGGTCTTGGTCTTTTTTCATCTAGAATTTCTTATGTTCTTAAGATTAGGTTACTTATTCACTAATTTTATTTCCTCTGGTAAAGCACTTGTCCCAGTGTCCCCTGATGTCTTTGTTGAGATTGAGAACTCAAATCCTTCAACCTAGCATTCTATTAAGCTACATTAGTACAGTAATGTGCTACTTTGCAAGGCCATTGTTTCAGTCAATTAAATCTCCATAATCTGTCTCAATTTCTGAAAACAAAAGCCATTGAGTATGTCATGTCATGCTCATTTTCCTTCGTGAAATCATAAGCGCCAGTAGATCTGAAAGTGGTGTCCAACCAAGAAGTAAAATCACCGATGAGTGCTCATTGATTAGTGTCAAACTCTGAACCTATATTTTACTTATAAAGCAGTTGTGTTGGATTAGTGATCCCTATAATATTGTGTAATTTGGCAAGAATTCAGAAAAATAACTGTAAATCGCTGGTTTCATCTGACCTTTGAAGCTTTGCTAATATAGTTAGCTGCAAAAGTTGTATTACAATTATTTTGTTTTGTAGAATTACAAAAGGGAGCGGAGGTTTACCACATGCCCCGATCTAGGGCCCGGCGCTGCCATTACAGCAGAATATTTGCACCAATCCTCAAACACGGAACCTACCAAAGATCTCCCAACAACAAAAGAAGACCAAATTTGGACAGTTTACAACCTTCCTCTCACTCAAAATCCCAAGGCTGGAAGGACACACAAGGCAATGTCAATTTATATAACAATGGGAAGAAACACAAACCAGCACAAATTACCCAGATCTCAATGGGCAGAAAGCACAAGGCAGTGAGGATCACCCCTATGACACTAGTCAGCTCCTGAAAAGCAATAGGTATAACCCATACAGTAACAGTCAGGCAGAAGGTAGTCAGGTAGAAGCAAGCAGTCAGACTGGACAAGGCAGCCAATATAGCACCAGTCAAGGAATAAAAGGCAATGGGTATGATCCATACACCAATGGACAGGAAACAGAAGGTAGTCAATATGACCCATATGACACTAGTCAAGGAATAAAAGGCAAAGGGTATGATCCAAATGCTAATGAACAGGAAACACAAGGTAGTCAATACAATCCACATGGCACAAGTCAGGGAATAAAAGGCAATGAGTATGATCCATACAACAATGGATATGACCCATATGGCAATGGACAGGAAACACAAGGCAGTCAACATGACCCATATGGCACTAGTCAGGGAATAAAAGGCAATGGATATGACCCATATGGCAATGGACAGGAAACACAAGGCAGTCAATACAATTCATATGGCTCTAGTCAAGGAATAAAAGGATATGGATATGAACCATACAACAATGGTCAGGAAATACACAAGAGTCAATATGACCCATATGGCACTCATCATGGAATGCAAGGCAATGGGTATGATCCCTATAACAATGGACAAAAATCTAAATATAACCCATATGACATCAGTCAGGGAATAAAAGGCAATGGGTATGATCCAAATGGCAATGTATATGATCCAAATGGCAATGCACAGGAAACACAAAGCAGTCAATATGACCCATATGGCACTAGTCAGGGAATAAAAAGCAGTGGGTATGATCCATATGGTAATGGTCAGAGAGAAGAAGCCAATCAATATGATCCATATGGTACGACTGATGGACTGAAAGGCAGGCAATATGACCCATATGGCAATAATCAAGGCAATGGATATGATTCATATAGTAACATTCAGACAGAGCAACTCAACCAATATGACATTAATGGGTTGGTGACAAATACTCAATATGATCCTTATAGCAAAGGTCAAGGAGGGAAAAGTAATACCTATGATCCATATGGAAATGGACAAGAAACACAAGACACTAGTCAAGGAGTGAAAAGTATTCAGCAAGACCAATATGGCAATATGGAAGAAACAAAAATCAATGAGCAAAATGATCAGCCAATACAAAATAGCAAATATGACCAATATGGCAATGGGAAAGTTACACAAAGTACTGTCTACGACTCTGATCTGATCCAGAATATTGATTATAATTATAAACATAGTCAGTATGGATCTAATAGTCAAACTAATGAGGATAATGGGAAATATGAGAGATCTAGTCTGGTGTCAGAATCAGAGAAGAGTCAGAATACAATTGCTGGTGTGAATTATCCCTCTGCTTTTAAAAAACTGTATTATTATAGATTACACCCAAATTATCGATATAGGTTCCTTTCTAGAAAAAATAATAAATTGCCAAATTAAATCCAGTTCAACTGTTCCCTTGACCTCGCCAGATTAGCCAGTATCTTGTAAATCAAGAGCCAGTAACAATACCTGTATGATTGCTAGTTTTAGTGGCAGATACTGAATAATGTTTTAAGGGGAGACATTCCTCTTGTCACTGAGTTTCAATTTAAAAATCCAGTATAAGCATTCATCACCAACCTTTAACACATAACAACAAGAGGAATTTCAGCCTCTAAATTACCAGTAGAAAGAAAGTAATCACCAGATCAGTTCTTAAAGCAAATTGGCATATAAATTACAGATATATTAAAGTGCAAATTATTGGACTTTTTAAAAATGTTGCCAGGAATATTCTTTCTGTCACCTTGTGCTAGTATATGATTAGAGGGTTAATTGCATCTTGACTCTTCCTCTCTTTTAGCAGCTGAGTTCTGAACACTTAAAATAGTTGTTTGATGACTTTAACTCTATTGCCATTCTGTTTAACTGGACGATTGCTTTTTAAAAAAAAACAAAGAAGAACATTTGAATATGTATCACATGTGAAAGTGTTTCTTCAAATACAAATTAATGTTCAGAAATGTAATCGATACATAAATTAATACTAAATTAAACTCCTTCAAGTATAAAATGTTTTGTCGGTTCACAATTTGATATGTATCTAAATGAATACTTGTTTTCTACATTCTTATCAACTGTTAGGAATCCTCAATCTAGTTTTAGCCTGTAAAAGCATGTTGTGATATGGAATCACATTACAATTCTTGAGGGAACCACATTTTAGAAATAGATCAAACTGATCATTTTGTCTTAAGGTTTCAAATTGTGCAGAATTGTGGAAAATTGTTAAATTTAGTTTTAATTTGAAACTTGATTTTTCAGTTAGAAATAACTGTTTTTCCTAATTAATACTGAATGCAATAATTTTCTATATTATAGATACATTGATAATGACTTCCCTCCTTTGGTATATTCGCAAGTATTATAAAATCTGGTCAATTATGCAATTTAAAATTTGCATTTGACACGTTTATGCCAGCCAATTAGGGAAAGATTGTTTGCAAAAGTGCAACTAGCCACAAGCTGGGTGTGCAGGTAGAATCAGCCATTTCAGGGTGTATCCTATATAACGTAACTTCGGGTAAGGTATTTCACATTTAGCAAACAGGGTAAACGTTTGGTGTAGAAAAGCCACATTATATATTATAACTGCATGAGTAAATGTCTTAAAATCATCAGCAAGTATTGCAAAAGTGCTGTTGTTTTCTGAGCCTCTTCATTAGTGTTGATGATCTTGCCTGAAGAGGTTAGTAGCCACATCATTGGATTTATCTCCAGGTATGATTATATTAAGATACAATGCAATAACAACAGATATACATCAATACATGTTACATTTTGCTCTAAGTAAAATCAATTGCTCTATTCTCAATGAATGAATTATCAGGAGTTAATTCAAAGGAGAATGGCCAAATGGTGGCTGTTGACTTACTATCATGACTATATCATGAATATATATTTCACTTTAGAATGCAACTTTAATAAATGTAACTTTAATAAAGCTTTGTTGAAATCATGTCTTTGTTTCCTTTGCATTTTAATAATCTAAGTGGGAAAGATCTTGTTCCAGAATTGATGATATTGAAAAACTTAGATGAACTGCGGATCATCATATTTGTTGGTGCATTGAATGTTGTGTTAAACAAGCATTTTGTAATGTGTTTTAGAAGAGGCAGTTAAGTAACTTTTATGAGGTATCGTCAAAGACTGCATCCACAGTCTCTAGACTGTGAAGGAGAGAGCACGAAAGTTCATGCAGAGGATGGGAAGATGTAGTTAGCTGGTACTGTTAATTGGATAAGCAGATTAGTTTGGTATGTGCTGGAGCAAATGTGTGACAATTGACTGCTTAATTAGGACAGAGATGCCTGTCTGTTTCTGACCAAAAAGTTATCTCCTTTGACCCATCAAAGGACAGTGATATATGCCCAGGAGCCATGAAAAAAGGGATTAGAGTACAAGAGTAGGGAAGTCTTGCTGCAATTGTATAAGGCCTTGGTAAGACCGCACCTAGAATATTGTGTGCAGTTTTGGTCTCCTTATTTAAGAAAGGACATACTCGCCTTAGAGGGGGTGCAGCGCAGATTCACTAGTTGGTTCCTGGGATGAGGGGTTGACCTATGAGGATAGGTTGAGTAAACTAGGTCTATATTCTCTAGAATATAGAAAAATTAGAGGAGATCTTATAGAAACCTATAAAATTCTTAAGGGTCTTGACAGAGTAGATGCCATGAGACTGTTTCCCCCATTGGAGAATCTAAAACTAGGGGTCATAGTCTCAATATTAAGGGTCAGCCTTGTTGAACTGAGTTGAGGAAACATTTCTTCACTCAGAGGGGAGTGAATTTGTGGAATTCTCTACCCCAGAAGGCTGTGGGTGCTCAGTCTTTGAACATATTCAAGACTGAGATTGATAGATTTCTAAAGGATAGAGGGATTAAGGGATATGGGGATAGGGCAGGTAAATGGAATTAGGTTAGAAGATCAGCCATGATCGTATTAAATGGCAGGACAGGCTTGAGGGCCAAATGGCCTACTCCTGCTCCTACATCTTAGCGTCTTATAAAACTCCACCTCTGACCATGTTATATAATTTGTTAGTTAGTGTCAAAATAAAGTAACGTATTATTTTTAACTAATTTCATTAGTAAATACCTTACACTGGTAATTTATATCCTACCCTGTGTAGTAAGGTGATTGGACAAAACAACTTTGAGCTGTGATTGGCCAAACTAGTTCTGAACGATGGTTGGACACATTGACTCCACCTCTGCCTGTAGTCTTCACGTGAATAAAGTTTTTGAACATAAAAGAAGGAGTTTTAGTCAGTATCAGTGAGGTGCAGATCTGACCAACTCCCAGGTGCCTGCTGCCCTCCCAGGCATAGTTAACTGATCAATGCATATTCTCTAAAACCTGGTTGCTAACATTATTGTGTCTGGTGATGGTGGTTCAATGCTCTCTGTACAACTATTGACTCCCGAACTGTATTAAAGTAAACAATTAATTCACAAAATACACAATCACTTTACTGTATAACCTATGAAGTGCTTTGAGACATCCTGCCAATGTGAAAAGTGTTAGATCAATTGTAAGTATAATTATTGCTATTATTTATTATTTATAAGTGACTCAAGATACTGGTTAAGAGGTGTTTGAAACAGAGAGCCAGATTAAGAGACTAAGTGGTTCTTGAATGAGTTTAAAAAGACAGGGGTGAGGGCAGAAGACTCAACGTTTAATTGTGGACTGTGGATTTGTAGATGAATGTGGCAGGCCAATTACAAAGAGCACTCTTCCAAAAATACCCTTTTTTTTAATGTGGAGTATTGTTTGCTAGGACACTAAGAGAAACATATTTGTCCCATTGAATCCTCACGGACAAACAGAAGCCTAGGACCCCATTTGATTTTTTGACAGCTTTGGCCACCTACCTTCCCATCTTTTAGGATTGATGCACAAGTCCCTTTGCTCTTCCACTTCTTTTAATATTTACCACCCAATATATACTTATTCTCCTTTATCTTTCTCCCAAAATGTATAATCTCATTTGTCTAAAATAGACTTTATTTTTCAGGAGACGCACAAAATGTACGCAATGTATGGGCAATAATTTTTTGTGCATAAAAATGTGTATATTTACACATAGCAGTGTATAAAATAAACTTTTACCCAGAAGCAATAATGTTCAAGAACTATTGTGCTATAAAATTAAATTTTATGTGCCATATAATAACATAGCAGTTTTCAGTCTAGACTGTTAAATCATTAATTACTAGGTTTACATTAAATCTACATTGAGGAATTTGATTCTAAAGATTGCTTGCATACCCAACAATAATTTTGGAAACATTCCCATTTTTGAACAAATTGATACCTTAGAAGAAGCTGCAGAGAGACTGCAGACAGTCTCATTGAATGGCGATGGGATAATCGGCTCTATTTTACTGTTGTTCAGAAAGTATCACATTCAGAAAGTATCCTAGAATGTAAAACAAATATTTTTTTCTATCTACCTTTGAGTGAACATACTTGTGCCTGTTTTTATTTTGAAACATCCAAAAGTAATTTTTTTTTAAAAAGTTTTTTTCAAAATTCCCTCTCAGCCCCAAACAGTGATGTCATCAGAGTGAGATAAGTTACTACACAGTCAGTGGATGGAGAGTGAGGGAGGTGAGACCAGGAGAGAGGCAGAGAGAAGGGTAGACTGAGAGTAGGAAGGAGAGAGTGTGTCGCAGACAGAGTGGAGAGACAGAGAGAGTAAGAGACAAAGAAAGGGGGAGACAGAGGGGGATGGGGACATTCCCCTTATTCTCTCCAATGGCCCAGGTCCTCAACAGATTCACTTCAACATCCTTGACCTTCAAATCCATTCAGAATATTGTCACATCTGATATCTGCAATCTCCTCAGGATCTATTCTCAGGACCATGTCCACATTCCTCCAACTGTGTTGTACTGCAAGATCCTCAATCCCAGCATCAAATCATTGGTGGCTGAGTCTTCAGCCACTTTTCCCCTCCGTTTACAGCTGGGATAAGGACCGAAATGATTCTGCCAATACCTCCCTGGTATGGGAGGAAATGTAGAACTTTACACTATCAGAGGTCACTTGTGTAGAGCTTTGTGCTGGCGCAGACCAGTCACTACCAGTTGGTGACACCAACCAAGTTTAGGATGCATCTTGCAAACTATTGGTGGAGGTCATGTGTTCAAGGTACCCACACAATGTCGTCTTGTGCGTATTTGTGCAGATATTAATGCCTTTGTTGGAGGTGCCATCATTTGGATAAAATATTACGCCAAGTTCCGTCAACCTCTTCAGATGGACGTTAAAGATCTGATGTCTTTTCAAACAAAAAGAGAGTTTCTTCCCTGGTCAATAATTCTCTTCTATTTAGGGACTTTGCTGTATGGAAATTGGCTACCAAGTTTGCCTGCAAAACCAGTCACTACACGTAATAGTCATTAGCACATTGAGATATTTTCACATGATAAAGTGCTGTAATTTCTTCTTTCTGGCATTTTGTGCTTTGGGTAATACAACTAATTCTTAACATCCTGCCAGGAGGCAAATTGATACATCAATATTATACTTCTTTCATCTCTAACTAATCCAGCACACATCCTGGAGAACATCACCAATTGAAAATTCCAGCTAATTGGTCATTATTACTATCAGATCTGCTGCTGTTTGCTCTGTTGAATTGGGTGAATCCTGTCTTTTCATGAAGTTTTAACAAATTTACCTTTGCACTATTTATATAACTGTAATACATTTTTAAATTATAAAAAAAATTGCATTAGAAATTGTTTGCATTAGTTATTTGCAAGGGCATAACAGCACCACATTTGTTCCACCTCATTTAATGAGCA